GTCACCGCCCGCCTCCCGGGCCGTCGCCCCGCCCCGCCCGCCGCGGGCAGGCCGGCCGGGCACCGCCGGGAACGTCGTCTCCAAACCAAAACCCGCTTCGGGGCCGGAAAGGAACCGAGCTGCCAGAACGCCTGGCTCTTGCCTAACGCTTTCCGGCGGGTCAGAGGGCTGCGGCGGAGCCGCCGTGGGACCGCGACCTGCGGAGAAGGGTGCCTCTGGAAGAGCACGGAGAGCCGGCTGGGCGGGCGGGAGCGGCGCGGAACCCGTCCCGGCGGGGCCCGAAGCGAGCCAGCCGAAGTGGCGCCTTCGCAACTTCGTGGTTTGCCACGGCTAAAATTAGACGTGCTCCTGGCGTTCTAGCTCGGAAGCCGGTGCGCTTAGCAGCTACGGGTTGCTCCGCGTAAGTAACACTTCCATTGGAGGGCACTGGGAAATAAGAGCACAAATACACCGGGGGAGATGCCGGCAACGCCGGCGCTCCCTCGGCCGTTTGGGCCTCGCTTCCCCTTCCACCCGTGGACTATTTACGTAACGGAGCACTATTTTAAATGGCCGAATGGAGGGAAATCGAAATGTTCCCGCACCGCGACCACTGGTTTACAGAAGCGGAGTTCAGGCCAGACATGACTATTTTTATCAGATACGATTTGCTTATGCGATCCATTGACCCAGTCCACTATGGATGAGGAAAGACTTGTAGAAGGAAAAAGAAAACCTCCCCTGCATCTAGCGGTGGGGAAGATGTCAATGGGAGAAGGAGAAGAGAGAGCTTGAACCAGTCCACAACCCCACCAGCAGAAGAGAGGAGGAGCTGGGAATTCTGCAGCTTGAATGGCAGGAGCAGGAAATCCTCTCCAAGGAGAGGATACAGAGACCAGTAGGACACGCTGCCTTTAGGAAAAGTACACCCCGAAAAGCCCTGTTGTGATTACGGTAAGAAAGAGCCATTGATACTGGCTGGCCTTGTGTCTGACAAGTGCTTTGAGAAAAGTGACACAAAGGTGTTAGGAGAAGTATTTATTAAATAAATAGAACAAAAGAGAAAGTTCATCCACCCAAAAGAACACAGGCACAAAAGTTGCTGACATACACTGCAGGAGCACAAAGCCACTGCAGTCTTTGATTTTTGTTTGTTTTTAATTTTAAGATAACTATGCTTTTCTGTACAGCACAACATGACCTGTTTCATGTTTTGCAGAAAACAGTTGCTTGCTCAGGAGTGTGCAATTTCCTATTTATTACAACTGAAAGAAGCTATTTCTTTAAAAGATTACAAAGCAGGACACACTAGAGGAACACAAAGAATACCTCTGAATTTCAACATTACCCTACCTACAAAACCTCTCCATTCATCACAGTGAATTGTCCTTGAGTTCTTCTCCCTCGTTTAACACTTGCACTAGGCTTTAGCCATTTAAAACCAACAACTGATAAGTGAAATTCAAATCTAAAATAAACATGAGCATGTTAGTTTTTGAATTACTAAAATGTATTTCTAATTTACGTTTCCAAAGGATCCAAATCAAAGACCTGAAATAGAACAAAATCTAGGAAATTGTTCAGGGTACAGATTTTTTAATTTGGAATGTAGTTTGCAGGTTTTTATTTCTGTGCTCTTGCTGTGAAAGGAGAGTATGTCTGAGAATAGAGGTCTTAGTTAAATCTTTATCTTGTTTAAACACTTCCTTGCGTAAATGCTGCATACTTTGGAATTTAAAAAAAAAAACCCACTTCTCGGCTCCTCTAGGAAACTAAGGCTACCACTAGTTTATCACAATTCATAAAAATGGTAATGGATGTCATCACTTTTCCCTCAGAGTTCTTGGCAAACTATTATTAGAACTTGCCTCTTCCAGAATTGAGTGTAGGGTACCTTATGTCACTCTTCGTGCAGCAGTACCAGTTCTGCTATGATAATCTAACTGGATAGCTCCATGTATTTTGCATTTTCATGCATCTTCCTCAGTCTCCTTTCTGTACACTATTAACAGCTGCTGTATGAAATCTGTTTTTCACATTAAAAAAGTTATCTTCCACACTGTGCCTCTGCCTGTACATGCAGAGCTCCTACTTGACTGCAACTGTTTAATGCCAACCCACTCCCCCCCAATATTCCTCATTCTTGAAAGCCGAGTTGGTGATCTGAAATTTCACTTCGTAATTGTAAATGGTGTGGATAGGTAGAATGTAAGAGCATCTAGTCCATTAAGTTATCTGGGTAAGGAGTATTCAGTATAAAAGAAATAAGAAACAAAGGAACACACAGACAACACCAACATTGTAAGCAAGTGGTAAGAGAGAACAATGAAGAGCAGAAGGCTTCAGCCACTGACTGATGAGCCATTTAAAGGAACTTGCTCTGGTATAGCCTTGAAGAGGGTCAACCTCAGCTTTGATCAATAAAGGGGGAAAAACATGATCATCATTTGAAGGGGCCTGCAGGACTGTGCAAAGCTCAACATATGAAAGGGACGGCAAAACTTTTTACAGGAGCAGGGATAGACAAGGATCAGGGTGAACAGGGAGGAACAAGTGTGAGAAGAGGCACAGGATGGGAGAGGTTGCTGGTAAGTACACTTGTCTCGCTGAGCACCTGTTCACAGCAGTTCATATCTTCTTATAAAGTATCTTCTTAATGTAAACCATACAGGAAAATGAAGATATCTATATGATTGTATTGCTTTATTACTGTAAATTCATAGATTAACAACAAAAGAAATTACCACTTAGGAAACCCACATAAGAAACACTTGTCTACTCAACTGAGATTCAGGACCTAATCTTTAATCAATACTACAGTCTGCACCACCAGTGATGGTATGATTAGTACATTAAACAAACAAACAAAAAAGATGCATTGGCCACAGCCATTTTTATATTGGAAAGAAACTGCTTCCATCCATCACCCATACAGTCAGACAAATGGCACCAAATGTATTGTAAAGGCTAAACATATTCAATGTTCATCTTTAAAAATGACATAGAGAAAGGCAAATTTTATGCAAAATCATGCAGTCTTTCCACATCATGGCTGGTATCAACCACACTAAGCATTTAAATACTTTCAGTTAACGCTGGAGTGCATATTTCCCCTGCCATTACTGAAACTCTGGTTTATTACTGATTCCTGGTTTCAGTTACCATTCTCTGTTTTTATCAGTTCTTTGATGATGTGTAAGACCTTGTCATCTAGGAAAGAAAACAAACACACAGTGAGCTTGAAAATTGACTTCCAAAATTCAAGAAAAGCAGAAGGCAAGTCTAGCTCTCAGCAACTCAATATCTTAATGTTTTAGGCTATGCCAAACTCTAAAGCAAGACAAGTGATTCCCATTTGCGAAGCAAAAGGGCACAGAGTATGTCCACAGTACATCACTAAAAAGTTTATAAAATTACTCAGTGAGTTGGTTGTGACCATTTCAGTATTTCACAAAAGAGACTGAGAAAATGATGGGTAAACTACAGATATGTCAGCATACAGGAACTCCCTTTCTCCCTCCCCACCTACAATATTCTTCTGAACATCCAGTGTTCAAAGTTTAAATTGTGCTCCTCTATCCCTTGCTTTGGGGGCCAACATGCAGTTCCCCATCATTAACCTAAACTGTGAGACAACTTGTGCAACACTTAAAATTCATCCATGCCTGAGGTTCATCACACAGTCTTACTTCTCTTTTGAGATGCATACCTCACCATTACTACCCCTACCTTCAATGCTGTTATCAGGGATATCTTTAGAACAGCAGTTGTGCAGATCTTCATCCATCTGGGGTGAGCCACATAATATATGTGGGATTAGTCACAACTTTTTGGATGTCTCTCAAGATAACGGAACAATATTCAAGTCACACGAACCCTATTGGGTGAGGATGCAGTGTACTAATGCTTCCTCAGATTTGCCACAAGGTTCATTTATCAAATAGTAATGTCAGCAATGCTGTAATAAAGTTACCTTCAAGTGACATTTTAGGATTTTCAAGCTTCCTCTTTAAAACAGACTCAATGAGAACTCTCAGCTGTTTGAAAATTACTGCTATCTTTACAGGAGCCTATAGAGAATGGAGAATACAAATATTTGCATTACTCGGACATTTTATACCAAAATATAGATTAAAAGATTACCTTACATATAAATAGAAGATTCCTGCAAACATGATCCATATACATAATTTTAAGCATATGGATAGTGTACTCAGGAAATGACTGGGCTTACATTATGCCTTCTTATCTTTAAGCACCTGTTGTTTGTAGCATCACACCCTAAAGAGCAGCTCAGAAGGGTAACTCAGAATATGCTCCCACACATACCATGAACAACCAGCATGTGGTAAAATTATTAATTTACCACTACCCTACTTACTCTAATTGCTTTTTTCCAAGGTATAAAAGTACAAATTAATTTATACCTGCAATAAAATACCTACACATTTCCCTCCCAGAAGTTCTGCCTGGCCTCCTGAGAAAGCAATCACAAACCTCTCCTAAATCTCACTAGGAGTTTGGATATTTAAAGCTGAAGTGTTTTCCAGGATTGTTTCATTTTATCCCTCCCTCCCTATACCAGTATTTATTTCATTTATATATTAGCTGTAGTACAATAAGTAGCTATTATGGAAAAAGCACAAAATGCAACAGATTCTGCTTAGAATCTCAGTAGAAAAATAGAAATTCTGAAATACACTACAAGATGTAATTGGCCCAGCAACCGCACAACCTGTAGCCACCCAGGGACCACAAAAAATTCTCCAACAAACCCACAAGGGAGCTGCTTTTTAAAATTCCATATTCATGATAACCAGTGAATTCAATCAGATGGTTGCTTGCTTGCATCAGAGTGCAAAGAACCAAAATGTTTTGTAGCTTATAGCCTTCCTTGAGTGTAACACAGGGCCCACAGGAGCACAGAAAATTGTAACCAAGTAGCTGGCAGGCTAGGAAAAGCCAAGGTTTGCCATTTAAAAGAATTTACAGAGGATTTTGGCATGTCACCTGTTTTAATTTTGTCTGCAAAAATGCACTAAGAAAATGCACTCAGTTTTCCCATTCCCAAATAAAACTTTTCACCTAGAAACAAAAAACCAAAACAACAACAAAAAAACCCCAAAGACCCAAAACTGAAGCAAACAGGTATTTTCTATTTGTATTTTTTTTTCCCCCAAATAATTCTGTTTGGGCTATAAAGCAAAATAAATAGTATTTTAAAGACAAATATGTACTTAGATGATCATAAGATTGTAGGAAAGCGTAATATAAAATAGCACACTCATCTGCTTTCAGTACCAGCTCTATAAAACAAGGTTTAGTCTATATCCATTTCCAGTACCTTTTCTGAAAGAACACCAGCTTTCTTTATGAAGAGAGAGGGAACTGATGTCTTGTAAGTCACATATTACAAGCCTATTCTTTCGAGTGTGATTTGCTAAGATTTCATTACATGTTTATAAAATTTCCCATCATTTCCTTCAATTGTCTCCTTCCTTCTTCTCCTGTCTTCATCCCACGTATACAGTGTTCTGAATTAAGCTTGTACATCAACTGTGTAATACAAAAGCCCATGGAACCACAAAAGGTAGTTACCACTCCAACACACCTGAAAATGGATCCAGCCATCAACTGTCAGGAGGCGCTCCCGATGCTGGACTTCTATATCCCCACCAAAAAGCAAAATGGGAAAGGGGGATATTAAAGTAGTCTCTCTCAAATATACCTTAGTGTACCTCACCTGTATAGAAACAAACACAAGCATTAAAAGCAACAACAAAAAAACCTAAACCACATAAAACCTGCAACACCAAATTTGATTGTTACTTTTAAGAGCAAGAAAAACACTTTTTTCCTTTTAAGATCCAATCAACACAAGTCATTGTACACAGAGCAATGAATAGCAATTCGTCCGCCCTAGACCACATAAAATACATCACCTCTAAGTAACAGCCTTATACGCTACCAGGAAATTGGCTAATGCCACAATTTTCTCGTTAACATTCAAACAGAAAGATAATGTTAGCCTAGTGCTGTTCCGAGAAGAGACACCAAAATTAATAAACCTACTGAAGTGAAAGGCAGACAAAAATCTTCCGTTATACATTCTTCTTAGCAGCAGCCAGTTTGTCAATCTATCTATATCCACATATTCACATGCATACATGCATAAATGTGGGCACAAATGTAGACACATACACGGAGTAAACTATGGGGCTCAGCATATGCTACTTCTGGCTTTGGAGCCTCTCACAGATAAAGATGGAATAGGATGGGCAGGAGTTGTAGTGGGAGGAAAGGAAACAAAAAGAGTGCATCTTCACACAGCAGTATAGGCTTGCTTTGCTCCCAGGTTCATGGAATAATTTACCTACCTCAGCTACTGTCTTGCCCTTACACTACAAGGTTCTTGGGAGCAGGAAATATTTTCAGCTCTCCCCAAAATACTATAATTTCATATGCATTATCTAACATGCTCCTCTACAATCAAGTTGGCCATTAAACAACTGTCAAGGTGGTGTTATACTAAAAGTGTAGTTAAATATAAACACTTGAATTCAGCAAATAACTGACAAAATTTTCAGTTGTGAGGGGGAAGAAAGCAACAGGGAAAAAAAAAAGGCAATTCACTTAGGAAGTTCAGCAGTCAATTACAGAATTGGCTATTTCATTTTAAGTTATTATTTGGGATATGCAAGGCCTGTACCAACTTTCAAAACCTTAGAGTCCGCTTCGAACAGTAAAACAGAAAAAGCACATTTTGAAGTATTACTACTACATATTACTGATCAAAGTGATCATATTAAAATCAACAGCACTGTATTAAAAAAGTCAATGACACTATCGAGTTAAAGGACATATAGAAAGGTACTTTCATTTATAGCTACCAGTTTCACCATGAACAGATTTGTTCATGATGTTCAGCCTTAACTTCTTCTTCAGCCCTCAGCTGACTCATTTTTATGGACTTCAGGATCATCAGATATTAAAGACTCTTAAGATGAACAAAACATTCAGATATACTTTACACTGGTGTATGTTGTTTAATATTGGAGGCATAACTCCACCTTTACACAAACTATCAGCTACATTCACTATTTTCACTTACCTTCTCCTGGTAAAGGAGCCATCCGTATGTCTGCAAGTCTCGATTTACAGAGGAGGGATGCACTTGTGCTTTACCCTGAGCTGTTTCTACCATACAAGCCAGCTTCTCTGTAATATCCACAGACTTTGTATACATTATTTTTCCTACGTTGTCATACAGCCCTGCAGTCAACACAGCTTTAAGAAGAGCTATTTCGTGGAGAGGAAGGGATTGTGTGGCTCCATTTCCATCCCATCCACATTGCGTTGTAGGTGCTGTGAAGCCTGCTGCTCTGACCACCCTTATGAGTTCTTGCTTCACATCCTGAAATTAGTAAGGTATTAGTAAAACTCTGAATTTAAAAAGGTATATACTTCACTCCATCAGCAGGCAATAACACTCCATCCCAAATATTCATGCTCTCCATGGGAAAAATCTCTCAGTAGGAACACACTTGTATTTTCTGCAACCACTTTGGAACAGTGGCTGTTTCTATAGGAAAAACATTACCTGGAATATAGGGATATATATATGATACTATATATACTACAAATACTAAATCTCTCACCTGTAGTGAAAATAAAAAGATACATTTGCATCAAGGATCCACTTCTGCTTAGAAGAGCTCAGTCACCCAAACTTAAATAGGAAAGACCAATTAAAACATTTTCTCACCAAAAATGAGAGGCCATTTACATAAGTTTGTGGCTCATCTTTCAAACTAACTGTTAACAGACCTGTTCTTCGATATCAAGAATAACACAAAGTAAGTATTTTAATTCATAAGTTTTGAATCTCTGGTGGAAGTAAGGACTAGCTTCTCCAGTGGCAGTGACTGCAAAGATGTATACCAACAAAATGTGCATATTAAAACTCAAATGCAGACACAAGCTACCTTGACTGAGGGTGTGTATTTCATCAGTCCCTAACATTTCACTTGTTTTTGTCTTGTATAAATAGTAACTGTGAGATATCACCTCTTTAAAAGGGCATGACATTTTCAGAGGGAAATTTTAACAAGTAACTTTTGAGTGCACAGCATAATTGTTTGGTTTACCTCCAGAGTTAACAGTGAAGTCCTATTAAGGAAATTTCTTCTGCAATAAGTCATTTCAGCACGATACCCCCCTTCTTGTCGAGCCCGTTTCCACCTAAGGAAAAAAACCTGTCTTATTACAGCAAAAAGAATCACATCAAGAATATGACAATATGAAAGTGGTAGTAAGGTAAAAGGCAATACTGTGCTTTGTTCAGCATTCTCTACTGAAAACTGTAAGTAAGTGGCATTAAGGAAGATGAATGCTGCTGGTCTAAGAGCACTCCAGAGAACATGCCTGCAATATAAAACTGACAGATACTAACAAAAATACAAGGTAATTATCTCTCAAAAATCACACACTTTTGTCTTTGACAGTTGAAACAAAATTCAGGTGTGGTTTTTAAGACTTAGTGCTAATATCCTAAAAAGAAAAAATATGCATGTCATTCTATAATATATACATTTGTACTTTCTCAAATACAAAATATTCAGGTCAACATATCACAAACAAAATACTTTAAACACTAGGATAAACAGACTGAGTACACATCTGTATGTGTGCAAGCACAGTTAAAAAGAATTAAAGGATAAGGTACTAAGCAAGCTCTTATTTTGTGTTACAGTATTTGGCAATCTATTGTTATTCTGAAGAGAAAAACTTCAGGTCCAAGCAATTCAAGAGAAGATTCTTATTAAGGATTCTTTACAGAACTGCATTACTTAAGTGTTATCCGCATCCAGCTATAACCACAGCAGAATTATCATTTACCCCAGATAAGCATTGTAGATTGTTATATGGTCTGAAACTGCCATTGCTAGAGATGATTTTGCAAGATCTGCTTCATCTTTTCGACCAATTGGCGTAGTAAATGGGGATTTTTCTGTCATAACAGCAGCCAGAGTTGCCTGCAATTAGTAAAGTACACATGACTTAGGAGTATTTTATTATAAGCTTACAGGTTTACCATACAAAGACCTTTAAGTTTTCTTTTACAGTAATATTTAATGATACTTTATCTTCTACTAAGTCTCAAGGAAAACTTATCACCATAAGAATTTCTACATAGAATTCAGAACTTACCTATATTAAAGACATTGCTTTATTAAAGACATAATACCTTATATACACTGATAAAAAAATATTAAATCCTGAAACTCACATGAAATGGTTTGTCAAATGACAGAGCAATACCAGATACAATACAGTGAAGGTCAGATTAAACAATTGCTTTAGATTATACTACATTAACAGGAGATATTGAGAGAACAAAGGATTTTAACTTTCAGTTTGCAGCAACTAACATACCCATGCTTCCTCCTGATTTGCAGTAAATTAAATGGATTAGGTGAAAGTGTAAACTATGCCAGCCTTCATATAATAAGTTACCATGTCAATTAATTTGCAATAACTTTACATCAGCATGTTCTTGACCCACAAACTGTGCGGTAATCCAGGTTGGTCTAACCTACATGTAAGAGGGTTTTTTATTTACGTGTCATACTCCCTGAGATCGTGACAGAACGGGAGACCAAATCTGACTATCCCCTTGTGAATAGTACCTAGGAGTTTAGAATCATAGAATCATTTAGGTTGGAAAAGACCTTTAAGACCATCGAGTCCAACTGTAAAGAATACTTAGATTGTTCCCCTCCATGATGTCCAGGTGCTCTCACCCTAAAATAAACATTTTAACTTCTCGCACCATCCTTTCAAAATACCATGTTGCAAGAAATCAGATTAATTGTAAAGTGTCAACCATTTCTTTTTTTTTTTTTAATTTAGATATAATATTTCTTTTTACTCACCACAGGATCCAAGCAGCCGAATATAGCACCAAATATAAGCATTTTGCCAATCTTTACATTGACAGGAAGGGCTGCAAGGTGCTGGCCCAATGGAGTCAGCTTGGGCTCATTTAACAGACAAGCCCCAATCTTCCTCAACAGGTTCATTGCATTACCAATTACTTGCTGCTGTGGTGGGTCTAATGCTCTGGAAAGGAAATCTTCAGGAGAGCCAAGATTGCATTTCTGTGGAGTAAATGGGCATATATTTCAATATAAAAATTTATTGTAACAAACTTTTATAGTAGCTACAAAGGAAACTGGAAAGCTGTTCTTGCAATCAAAAGCCCAGATTCCCTTTCCCTCTCCTCTAAACCAGCCCCTTGGTTCTCAGAACACAGATGCACCCCACATTAGGTTAACAAAACTTCACTGTTCAGAAGGACTTCATAAGGCACAACCACTGATCAGAGGAGCCTGTTACCAATGGTCACAGATGAGCAGGAGACTCTGAAACCTGATGAGATGCAGTTCAACCTGGCACTAATTTGCCAGGTTGCTAGTTTCCCCATGCATATCCTACTCACTCAGGATGGAGAGAGAGGGAATGGAATTGCTTCCTTAAGCAGAAATTAGTCTGAAGGCTATTTAACTAAGCTTGAATTGGCACTCTGAGGTGAACTGGAATAGCATAGTATGCTATTCTTATTCAACACCATGCTCTGGATTTTCCAACGTACAGGTACTGGGTTCCCTCCTGCCCTGGTGGGAGAAGCCCCACTACTTATACTGGATTAGGGCTGTCCTAGCAAGCCCTAGGACACCTTTTTAGGTAACAAGGTCAGTAATTCCAAAACCAAACCCAAACAATAAGATAAAGGTGTAATTCCTCCAAAGGCCCATGTAATATTTTCAGTTAACAAGGTCAGTTATTCTAAAACCAAAACCATACCATAATATGAAGGCATAATTCCTCCAAAGGCACACGCAATATTTCTGGAACAGAGTATTCCATGAAGCTTTCAAACCTGCAATATTATAAAAACAGAGAATCACAGATACTCAATTTAATCTTTGAATTCAACTTATAGACTCAGGTTTCATATGCTCATTCTTTGCAGGTGTTCTTTAAAGGGGCAAGGTGGGCAGTGGCACTTACTTTAATGTGTGGGTAAACTGTTCATTGTTTGAATTAAGGCATGTGTGGTAGCTTGGAAAGCAAGAGTTTTAGTGAAAGAGAGGGAAAGGCAGTTAAGACCCCGATTTTCAAAACAAATTCTTAAATTGCATATCTCTAAAACTGAAAGCCTTGCATGTGGCTAAAATGCACACTTTATTGGTTATTTAAAAATACTTTTACCTTAACTGTTTCTCAGCTGAAAGTTGCTTCAGACGTTCAGACAAGAAGGAAAAAAGCTATTCCGCTGCAGTAACAGAAACTAATTCTGCAGTGTTGTATAATTTGATATTTTCTCCATCTCTTATCCATAGAGATACCACTTCAGAAAGCTACAGATTTGTCTGATCAAAAAATTAAGAGTTCAGGAAGTAAGGTTTGTGTATATTTGCTGCAGGGCAGTAGATGTCGTTAAAAAATGATCATCTACAATTCCTTACAGCTGCACTTATCCTTTAATTATGAAGATTTTTTTCAAAGCACTTACATTACAGGTACTAAGAATGAAATTAACTTTTTTAAAATTGTGAAACAAAAAGGCTGTTGTAACACTTTATTCATATGATATTCAAATTGTCTGGGGTGTTTTGTTTTGTTGTTTTTTTTTTTTTTACAGTTTAATCTTTCCAGTTTGCAATAATTAAAATGAATTTCAACAAGAATTCTTGGTTTTGCACAGAAAAAAGACAAAGATATTTATGCGATTTACAAAGTCTTGCTAAGTTTACAGTACCTGTCTCTTGTGTACATTCGGAAGCAGAATCCATCCCTAACACGCCCAGCTCTTCCTTGTCGCTGCAGAGCACTAGCTTTACTAACAAAGGTCTCCTCCAGGGAACTCATCTGACTACTTTCGTGATACCTTAAAAATTGTAAAGCAAGTGCCCATTCAGATTTCAGACCTAGAATTTTTATGTATACTTAACTTAGCATACTGATACTGTATCTAAATAGTATTTATCTGAAAATATTATATTTAGTTTTGAAAACTAAGCATAGCTGGGGGAAACTGTACATCACAGAACCTTGGATACAACTCACTAATGAAAGTGTAAAAATTGGAAAATGAAAGAGCTATTGTATTACTTCATCTCCCTGGCAATCCAGAATTGTTCTAACATATTCTGTAGGGCTTTTCACATTTAAAATGGACAACAAAATAACTGCTAAGAATTGAGACAGTATAAAAAGGATCTGTTTTTTAAACCAGTACTTAATCATGATTGTCTGTATCTATGAATAACTCCCCTTGTTGTCCTTCACACCATTTGAAAATTCAAAGATTCATCTCAAACTTGTACCTAAACTACAAGCTGTTCAATGAGCTCAGCACACTTTTTTGTCCAGAACTGTAGTTTAATGAGGATACTACAAAATTCTTGCAGTACTAACCTCCAAATATTTACAGTAATCACAGTATGATTTATGAAAATCAAACTCACCTATTTTCTTTTGTTCTCCCAGTATCAATTACAAAGACAACATCTGGTATTGTAATACCTGTCTCTGCTATATTGGTTGCCAAAACAATCTGAAAAGAAGTTCACATAACAAATACAAGAATTATGGAATTGCTGTCTAACAGTTTTCATCCTTTTAATCAATATTATAGAATAAGTTGTGTTAAGTTTTTTTACCCAGAAATGTTTCCTTAAATAATCTGTCAGAGCATTAAAAGCTACACAACTTGGAAAATGGTTCAGTCTTACCCAATTACTGAGGAATCAAAAGTTAAGTGAGAATCTTGCATTCACTTTTTGTTTTATAATCCATCAAAATTACTAGCTAGTACCTGCCTAAATTGGTCAACTTTTAATTAAATAGTTTGGCAGTAAGTAAAATACTATTTTCCTAGATAAAAGCTATAGTTACTAGTTAACAGCAGTTAAAATACAGGAAATCAACAACTAAAGAAGCTCTGAGAAAAACATTAGGTTTAAAAATTTGTCTGATTACTTCCAGGTTTTCACAGCATGCTAGCTTCTATCTGTTACAGAAAACCAAATTAGAAGAATTGTTTCTTTGCAGCGAGAAAATTCCAAGAACAAATACTTGTTGTGCAATTCTGTATTTGATTTTAAAACAATTAGAGTTGCACACCCAGAAAGTTTCTCCTTTCAGTGGTGAACTTTGCCTTTCTGAATATATCATACCTTTCTGATACCAAGGGGAGGTATTGTAAATGCAGCTGCTTGATCTTGAGTTGACAGAACAGAATGCAAAGCTATCAACCTGTGCCTAGAAGAAATTACACTAATCAGTATACACTTATGAAATTAAGATACTGTAAAAAAATTAGACGAGAACGATGACAACAGTTTGGAGAAAGCAACTAGAACGGACACTTGAAAGCGTAAAACTCTGCATGATTAGGTATGAAAATCTGCTTCAGTGTTTTATTACAATACCAAGAAAGGATAGCACCATTAGTTCCTAGGGCTGTTCTCCTGTTTGGTAATAACACAGGAAAAATACTACTACTGCAGAACTCTAAGTTCATTTAGATCAATAGCCTAGCAAAAAGGGAACTAGGTGTCCATGAACTCGAGTTCTTTACATTGTGCTTCCAAGACAAGGACCATTATTGAAACTTTGTACAGAACTATAAACACATGCAACTTTTAGCCTGAGTAATAAAGGCCTTCAGAGATGAGACAGCCACAGAGGTTTGTACTTGCCTTCTCTTATAGACCTTGACATCTCAGTCCATCTCTGAATCTTTAGAATTTGAGTGCAAATGTTCTTTTTATGCCATTTTGTTGCTAACTTTTAGTTACCCACAAAATAAGTGTCAAAACTATCTGTCACTACAACCCTATGCCATTTCTCTTAGTAGATTACTGTCTCTGGATCTCTTCTCAGGAAGTAGTTACCTCCTTGCAAAGAGTAAGCCACAGAAAACTATATCCCAGATACGGCTGCTTCCTTAACCTAAGAAGTGGAAAAGAAGTAGTCAAGTGCTTTGTGGTTAAGTAAGTTTGTTGAAAAATAACATCAGAAGAAAAAAATTATTACTGTACCATTCCTAAGCACCTGTAATTTTTGCTTGTGTCATTTTTAGATAATAGAAGTCCATTTGTAGCAAAAATAGCTCAGAGGTATAACTCTGTTTCCCTTTTCAAGAATAGCAGACCTTAAAACCCAAACATATTCACTAAGTTAAACTATTAATGTTAAAGAAAATATCTGCACTACCTGTCACGCAAGTTAAATCTTCTGTCAGTTGAAATGAGATCATACAGCTGTTGGATATGGGCAAGGCCTGGTAAAAAGATCAGCACAGCACCCTCAATGTTCTTGAACTGAGGACTTCTATCTGGAAAGTTACAGCACAGGCACATAGTTAAAACAAACATGCATTTACAAACAGTTTCACTTGAGAACAAGAACTACTTTTGGGCCCTGTGGTAAATGCTTTTTAGGATGGTTCATATAAGAATGAAGTCAAGTACTTCATTATCAGTAGAAAGCACTGGAAAAATAAGTCCAAAGGACAGCCCCAAGCATATAAACTTCTTAAGAAGTAGACCGTACCTAAGTATGCAAGCAACTCCAAAATAAGTTCAAGGTTGATCTTGTAAGGATTCATATAGAAGATAGCCTGCTGTGTACGACTGCTATACTTTGCATAGTAAGGAGCCAAATCAATACCAGATCCAGACTGGATTGGGACATACTCCTAAAAGAGAAGAGCAGGAAAAAAATAGTATTCTCAGTGTTTTAGAAGAAGGTAAGAGAACAGAAGGTCAGTTTGTCATTCACTTAGTTTAGGTTTCCTAAAACAGAGATTGAGGTGAAAGACATTTAACTGACTAACTTCCCACCAAAATCAGTGTGAGTTAGATTAAATCACAGCCACCTACATAACCTACGTATAGGTATCTACTACTGTTAAACGACATCCCAGATGAATTTTTACCTTTTTGTTTTTTTTTAAAGTCTGTGCAAGCAGTACTGTACAGTCTGTTTTACAAATGGAAACAGTTCCCAGGTCCATATCTGGCATCCAATTGGTATCAATTCAAAATGGGTTAAGCAGGGTGGCTACTCTTCTTTCAAAACTCATATCTGGGGGTATAAGAAACCAGTCTCGCCTTTCTCCTCTCCCTCACCCTTCTGAACTAACAGTTGCAATGAAAGTTAAGAGCCAATTAGGTGGCAACTCCTGCAGTGCTTTGGAGCAGGAGGAAAGGGGGAGGGAGAATTAGCAGAACATACAGACATTTGAATTGTTTACAAACATCTTACAGATACATACTTAGCATAAGTCTTCTATGTTAAGTGGCACTAGGGTAAATTATTTAATTGTTAATCAATGCACTTAAAGAAGCTTGCCACTACATATCCTTCTGTACTGAAGGCTCAATAGAAATAAACTACAAAGATGGAGCAGCACTCAGAAGAGCACTTGGGCTTCAACTAAAGGATGCTCTTGTAATGTATGGGGTAACTACCACGCTAGGGAAATAAAAAAGTAAAAAAAATCAGCAGAGCACATGAGATCATGTTTTTCAACATATGTATCTGTGTTTGATCACACCAAGCTAAATGGTCCTACAGATTTTGACAGAGCAAGCCAGAGCAGACAGGTAACTACCCAAAATATATACAGTCTAGATGAACAGCCTAAGTTGCCTGAAGTCAGATGGCATTCATATACTCTGTTTCAAGAATTTTGATTCAAAAGCACATACAGGTGTCAATGAAGACTACCTACAGGATTAACCATAGCCTGTTAAACCACAAAGCTCTACGCAATAATCTCATGTAAATCATCTCATTCAGCATGCCAATTTGGAGGATCTTGGGAATTTTTCAGCTAAGAAGGATAAGGATATGGCCTTGCCTCTTTTGGTCTTAGGTTCACTGGTTCAGAGAATTCTTTGGGAGAAAATACTTAAATGCTTTCCCCTGCTGCTCCTTACAGATCTAGAACTGGGAATCTGTACAAGAGAACTCAATGTCAAATATAACAAAATCAAGGCAGCTATAAAGGAGTTAGAGGAACAAACATAAGGGTGTAGCATTAATAAATACTTGGTTTTCACTGTAGCAGTGCCATTGTTTTTTATCAACTGAAATAAATGTGGTATTATACAATCCAATTGCATTTAATAACAGGATGTAAAATGATAAAATAATAAAAAAATAATCAAAATTTCTAAGCCAAAACTAGAAATGCCTATTTTACCTGATACTTTGTAGTGCTTCCTCCTTTGCCAGTAACATTTATTCTTACTTCCTCCTCCTCCTCCTCTAAGAACTTCTGACAATATTCTGAGTCTTTCTCCAGAACATAGCCAGTTGCTTCAATTACATCTTCAACATGGAAAATCTTTAGTGAAAATTCACAGAAGAAATACAGGCATGTCAAAAACTAATCAGCACCTTTTTCCTTGTTTAAAGCTTTGTATATAAGCTGAACAGGGAATACCCTCTTTTAATGTTGTAATAGATCTTGCAAATTTCAACTTAGTCTTTCTTATTATTTTTGAAAACCTAATCTTAGAGCTGCTACCAGTTTGTTAACGGTCTCTGTGCATGATCACTAGCATTACCTTTACCACAGCCTACATAACGTGCACGAGAAGCATGCATAAGAGTGTAATGACAAAGTTGCACAGGCAGTTGTCCTGGTTTCAGCTAGGATAGAGTTAATTTTCTTTCTAGAAGCTGGTACAGTGTTATGTTTTGGATTCAGTGCGAGAATAAAGTTGATACCAACAACTGAAGATATCAGTGTGTTAAGCAGTGTGTATACTAAGTCAAGGATTTTTCAGCTTCTCACGCCCAGCCAGAAAGAAGGCTGGGGGGGCACAAGAAGCTGTGAGGGCACAAGAAGCTGGAGCGCACACAGTCAGGACAGCCAACCCAAACTGGCCAAAAGGGTATTCTATACCATGTGATTCATGTCTTAGTATATAAACTGGGGGGAGCTGGCCTCAGGGGGGGATCGCTGCTTGGGAACTAACTGGGCATCGGTTGGTGAGTGGTGAGCAATTGCATTGTGCATCACTTGTTTTGTATATTCCAATTCTTTTATTATTACTACTGTCATTTTATTATTGTTATTATTATTACTTTCTTCTTTTCTGTTCTATTAAACTGTTCTTATCTCAACTTACAAGTTTTACTTTTCCCCACTTTTCTCCCCCATCCCACTGGGTAAGGGGGAAGTGAGTGAGCAGCTGCATGTTGGTTAGATGCTGACTGGGGTTAAACCATGACAGAGCTGGGGGGAATTCTTTAATACTTTCCTTTCTACCTAGGTTGAATAGAGAAAAATCAATGTGTCATTGATGGACTGATTTTAATCAATAATAAATCCATCAGAAAAAATAGTACAACCCTGTACTTCAAAGCACTGAAGCTATTTTGTATTTTCAAAAAGGAAAATGTGTATTTCAAGGACTTGTAAGCTTTTTTTTTTTTGTAAGAAAGAAGTGATATAGGTGTATTTCCTAAAGACACTAACCAGGCAATCACTGTGTACGTGCATATAAAGGGTCTTGCACAATCAAAGAAACATTTTCCTACCTCAACAGGGTAACTCCTCCCTGAGATCCTTAAAATGGGACAGTGTGAGAAATAGCTGGAAAACTTCTCACTGTCTACAGTAGCACTCATTAAAATCAGATGCAGGTCTGAACGCTTATGCAAGATCTCCTTCAGAATAACTAGGAGGAAATCAGACTGGACACTTCTTTCATGTACCTAGAGTTAGAAAAACATATCTATAGTAAGGCTTTAGTACAAGTCAAGGCCCAGAATAACTATAGTTTCTGCAGAATAGTAAGAGCTGATAACCTCATCTACAATAACATGAGATATACTTGAAAGAAGACCATCTTCTTGAAGTTTCCGAAGCAGGACACCTGTTGTACAGTACAGTAGCCTGGTGGCTTCTCCTGTTCTTGATTCCATACGAATCTGATATCCACACAGGGAATTCTTTAAAAAAAAAAGAAAAAAAAAGGATACTGAAAATATAGAATAATTTAAAATAGTATACAAGCTAGAATATTCAAAATTAAGTGAAATTTAAGCATTGTTAGATTCAGACACTGCAGAAATTGCTAATTAAATAGTATGGTGAATTACTACCTACCTGTTTTTTCATACACAGACTTCCCTTTGTTAAGAAAGGGAAAATACACTGAAATCTACAACTAAGTTTCTCCAGAGTAGCAAAGAGCTGGTAAACTCAAGTTTTTTCAGGGTTCTTTGCAGTCCTCAAACAAAATTATTTTTGCACTAATAGACTACTATGAAACATACAGACCTTGGGTTTTCTTCAGGTAACAAAATAACTTATGTTGGAAGGGGCCCCCTTGCAAAGCAGAGCCTCACTCAAGGCCAGACTGTATTGCCCAGAGCTTTATTTGGGGGAGTTCTCCATCCCTAATGATAGAGATGCCACAGTCTCTGGGCAATTTGCTCCTATGTTTGACCATCCTCATTATGAAACACTCTTGCTCTTCATCACCCTCTAAAGATTTTAGAAACCATATATGGATACCCAGAGGTTCACAGATGACAATTTGGAAAGAAACAGCTGGCACAGCAAGAAGCCCTTTTCAAGAGAAAATAGCATCTAATTATTTGGTTGTGTAAGAAATACTGTTTTCACTTTGTACCAACAATTCAGCACCCTGTATTTGATTAAGACTAGAAAAAGGAATTCAGACACATCTTACTTTTCCTCCTGGTCCTGATTCGCAGCCTAGCTCTTCACAAACCCTGGTTGCCAAACTGACTGCTGAGATTCTTCGGGGTTGTGTGCAAACAATATTACATTTATTTGATCCTTCATCTAGCAACAAGTCTTCCAACAGGAAATGGGGCACCTGGGTACTCTTCCCACTGCCTGTTTCACCAGCCACAACAACTACTCGATGTTTTTTAAGAGTTTCTACAATCGAGTATCTGTGCTTAAACACAGGTAACTCCTGTCTCTCTTTCAGAAGCCTCTGGTATCTGGAGGAACTTTGCAGCTTTTTGAACAAAATCCTTGAAGGTTCCAAATCATCTGTGTCTGAGGTCTCAAGGGAGAGACTGCTGAACTCCTCATCAGAAACTAAATTTTCCCAGGAATCTTCAGGACCCTCAGATACTTTTGGTTGGTTTTCAGACTGTATCTGTTGTTGCTGTTTGAGTTTGTTTAATAATCTAGCAATAAAGTTATCACGAGGTTTGTTGGTTTCTATCTTGTTTTCTTCTTCCTTTTTCTTTTCAATATCCCTCCATTCCAGCCAGACATCTCGGTAAGTAGGAGGCAGTAACTGATGAACTGACTTTAGGTGGAAAAAAGCAGAAAAAAAATTACTTTATGTACTACTCAGTAGCATCACTAACATTTTATATTTAAATGAACTTGAGTGGCAAAACATGAATTAGGGAGCTATTTCTAAACACAGAAACTATGAAAACAGTAATATAAACATCAACAATACACTTTTTATTTTCAACGGGCTTGCGTTCTTTACAACACTGAAAGAACAGTTTTACTATCAAAAAATGTCCTCCCTGTATGCTGCAACACATATGCATGATTATACATAAAAGTAAATGAACATATAATACAAGCAAAGAATTTAATGGGAAACACTTCATTAAACTGTTTTTAGAATTTAACTACAGATATTATGACAAACAATTGCAGAGGCAGATTCCAGGCTAAGAACAGTAATATTGGTGAAAATCTTACCTGCCCTTTGGTTAAATGATAGAGTGCCAAAGTAGCAGCTAGATGTTGCGCTTGCATACTATCTTCTGTTACAATTGTAGGACACATTGCCATTACATCATCTGACGATTTGGTAATCCTGACCCTTAAAGACAAATTCATACAAGCATTCTTAAAATTCATTACCTACATAAATAGCACACCTATTAATGTTTTTGTTTAAAACATAAGAGTGAAATTCAAATAGAGGAACTAAGCTAAGTAAACTTAATGTTACTCAATAATATTCTGTAAATGGAAACAACTGATAAAGTTTAATTGAATAGCAGAAAATTTTCAGCAGCAGAAGCAGATTGCAGCAGTGAATTTGCAATTATTTTTTTTCTCTTAACAAATGTCTTCATTTTCTCCAAAGCAGAAGTATTTATACACATAGAGATCACCATTAAGGTTAGTTGCTTTGGAAGAAGGACTAAGTATTTGTTTGTGTGCTTGTAACTACTTAGCATAGATTGAGATGACAGTTAATAATCTACTGACATGCAAACATCTTTTTAACAGATACATGCCAGTCAGACCAGCAGTCAAATTTCTCATAGTCTTAGGGGGACAGTATATTAGTAGCTTTAACTTGAGCAAGATGACAGGTTCTTTTACTTGGTTCCTTCAAGAAACATTACTCATGTGTAATGCCATGTCCATTTTATTTGTACATGATAATATTCTACTTTATACCACTCTATTATAGACTCGTTTTCTAAAAGAAATTTAAAAACACTGATACTGCACTGTTTTGGTTACAAACTTATGGTAGCTTTCATAGAAATTTTTAACTTCCACTTTATTTCAAACAATCACCAAAGGGGTTTTGGTTTTCGTATGCTTAAAACCTATGATTTAATATATTACTTCAAATGGGAATAGTGGAAGTTAGATTTGGACAATTATCTCACAGATTCGCTTCAAAACCTTTCATTCAGCAGTACAGAATTAAAAACTAACCCCTTCTTTATGGGGTCATTCACTAGAATCTTATTTTAGTGATAGTGTCCAGTCTAAGCATTACTTTTGCAGAGCTATCCAGAATGACATACCTCCCTGATGGACTCAAAAAGAAGAGAGTTTGAGTTAAATGCACTCTATTCATATATATCTGGATCAACATGACAAGACAGCAGTAGCCAGCATTTTTATTTTTAAATGAACCAAAAGAAAAATGTAAAGTTTACAGGAAATACATACCTACATTTCCAATATTTTCCAACTGGAACCTTTTCAAAAGCAGGATTTGGGCTCTTGGGAAAATTCTTCCTGCACCAGTCAATCAAAAATTGTTTTGGAGATTTACCGGTCCAGCTTCGAGCACTATAATCAAAATTTCTTATATCTAGCGGTTCTTTCTTTTTCACTACAAGAGCAGAAAGACACATTTTAAGTCTCCTAAAATTTATTTTACATTCCTCTGATAGCCAAGAATGTTTTTAGCTTTTCTTCAAATGTATTTTCTGAAATGTTTTGGAGAAATACTGGTACTGACACATGACAAAATTCCTGCTTTAACCACAAAAGTATCTAGCTGGAAGTTAATGACAATATTTTGCTTGCCATCTTTGATCACCCAATAATTTTAGAACTTTCACTAAAGTTTGGTTATTAGAAAATAATGTAAGAGTTTGAAGATTTACAATGAAAATAGTTTTAAAAGATGACAGGGTGACAATGGAAACAGTAACTAGCCCTACAATTAAAAAAAAAATTAAAATTTTAGACATGACAGTATGGCAAAAATAGCTTTCAACATCATCTGCTAAAACAAATACAGATCCTTTAAAGTCAGCTTGGTCAGTGAGGTAGTCCACCTGCCTTTCCCACAATCAGAGCTTGATGACTCAGCATTGCAATGCAATGCAACCTAGAAAAACAAGAATACTGGAAATTTGTGGTACACTTCAAGCTTGTACTGAACCATTTCCAACACACCTTTGTCTTCCTTTGCAGCACCATCTGGTTTTTCAAGCAGGCTCAAATTCAAAGTGGTTTCTTGAGGCTGAGGTAAGGGAGGTTTTTTCTTCTCATTTTGCTGTTGGTTTGAAATCTTTATTGCCGGATTAAATACCGGATGTTCTTCAAGTATTGCCATTTCTGTCAGAGAGAGAATACAACTTACACCCACCAACTGCTGAGCACTTATTCTTTAAAAAGAAAAGATCAACTATATTAATTCATACTGATCACCCAAAACCAGAAATAGTAAAATGTTATTTTTTAGAATTTGACCCACGTGGAAAGGGTAGATTCAGGAAAGACTGCAATTCACACAGCAGCATAAAAGATAATGAAATAAGTTCAGTCTGACTCAGAGACTTACTTGCCTAACAAATACGCAGGCCACAAAATAAAACACAGGTAATTTTCATAGCTCTACCTTGCTGAATTCTTCTTATTTTCTCCTGTGCTACCTTCTGGCCTTGCTTGTCTTTGTCTTGCTTGGAGATGCTTGCTTGGTCTTTTTCTTCTGAAAGCTTGGCAGCCAGATGTACATACCTCTCATTCTATTTCAAACAGAATTATTAAATACAAGTTGAATATTGTATGCTTGTCACTTTTAATGAACTTCATAATAAAAAAAGTGTGTGGGGGGGATTGTCCTTTATACCAAGCTTACACAACGGAGGAACAACTAAAGTTTTTACATAACTAACAGTCAAAACTTCTCAGAATTTGGTAGTCACTTTCCTAATCTCACCAAGATGTGTTTCAAGAATTTTTCTTTTCCAGCACAATGCATTCAGTATTGTAAGCCCAGTAAAAAAAAAAAAAAAAAAAAAAAGGAAAGGAAAAGCAACTTAGTAAAGGAGAAGTTTCAACACATTTCCCCTTCTGTAGCCTGCAAATGTAAAAATAGAAGATGTAAAATAGTATTCAATCCCCAATTTTTAACAAATAGATCCACTACTTGCAGATGTACCAGACATATCAGTTTTTGAAAGACTTTCATGAAGTGTTATTCTGTCTTACTGGGTCAAACTTTTCTTCATCTGACTCCTTCACAGACTCATTCTTCTCTTCATCACTTTGTTGCTCAGCATATCGCAAAATCCATTCCTTCATACTCACTTCTTTCTCCTTCCCCCCATTCATCTCCTAGGAAGAATAATGAAAACTAAAAGTAATGATAACAGTAAGTGAAAACACCAATGCTTTTCTCTGTCAGTACTTAGGAACTATTGCTTAAGATTTTATATATAAACTAAGTTATATGACATAAATAAAAAAAAACATGGAGCAAACTTCAACCAGGTAAACGTCTCATGATACACTTACACAGATCTCAACACTTGAAGAATTTAACTGCTGTAAGAAAAAAACCCCACACTTTCACAAGAAATCTTTTCTATTTCTATGCTTAAGATTCAATAAACACAGAAATCAAAATGGTGCAAGTACACAGGTATACTTAAAACCCACAAAAGTATGTAAAGAGTGCCACCTGTAAATAAACAGAATGAACCCATTTCAGGAGAAAATTAAGCTATGCTTTACCACAAAAGCAAACTATGAAGAGCTTTCTAGACTTCACATGAAAAAAATGTTATCTTCAAATGAAATTTAACTTCCACTGAAGTTAAAATAGTGAGGGTGACAATTATTAAGTACACCATATTTTCAGAACTTTTTCATATCAGCATTGGAAGTCAATGCGAATTCTGTATTTTAGAAAACGTCATCCTCTCTTCCCCCCAGTAAACACAAATTAATTTCTCAGATTACCTTAGTTTCAGGGCCATTTTCTTTCTTTTTGTTATCTACTGAGTGAGGTGGAGGTTCACGTTGTGACACAGGAGAACAAAATTTTGCTCTAGGCTTCTGTTGCTGTTCTTCAAACTGCTGGCTAAAACCTTCAGGCAAGGCATCTTCAAAATAAAAAACCCATGTCACAGAATATGTCAATAATAATTACTGAAAATCTTGTAAAGTGTATTAGGAGCCAACTAGAAGAACATAAAACAAAAACTGCATGCCTGTAATAAAATCAGGCTTTATCATTTAGATAAGTCATCATTTGCATGCTGGACTTCCATAAAACTCTATGAGTAGGAACAAGAGGTCTATAAGACTTTATACACTAAAAAAAATCCCAGAACGAATCAGCAGCGCATCTAGGAAAGGAACACTGTGATGACTACCGGTCTTAGTGAAACAATATATTTAATTACTACTATGAAGCATTCCCATGCCAGACCAGGTCCTATTACTCTTCAGTTAAAAACTGCAGTCAATTCTCTGTCACCATACTCACCATCAGGAAGGTTTAAACAAAGCCAATCAAGAGCAGAGTGAAGATCACCACCATACAGAAGTGTATTTTTCATTGCTTCTTCAATGTGGTCAGTCTTAAAAGAGAACCTCTGTAAAGCCATATATACATCCTAAAAATAAAAGTCATAAAATATTAGGATTTAATCTAGCAATCTACTATAGGCTTGTAAACTGCCATTTCCCACATATCAGGTAACTGGCATTAAATGGAGGTAAACAGCATAAATTACTGTATCAGAAGGCTGAGCAGAAAATCCTGTTTTGCATTCAGAGCTTATAATATTTTTATTGTAACGATGCATATGTATAAATAAATCTACATTCCAGCCTCTATACATAATGTATTTCTTAGTTAGAAAGATAAACCAACAATTTTCCAGGCATATGGAATGAAAAACATAGGAAACATAAAACATGCAGATTAAGTTCTATTCCTCTATCCTATCTGAACACTCCAACTTCAGTTACTGAACTCAAAGATGTTATCTTTCCTAATAAGCATACTTGTCGATTCTACTGACTAATCATTAACTACTGGAAAGCATGCTACACTGGCTTGTAAATAAACGATGGTTGGAAAATAGCACTTTAAAAACCTACCTGTAGTTTCTTAGCAGTAAGTCTTCTGGAAATCATTCCTTTGTCGTCATTTTGGTTTTTATGGTCATTGATTACATCAATAATCCTTTTCTCCAAATTACCATTTATCATTACCTGCACAGAGAAAATTACTTGATAAAAAGCAAAATATTACAAATTTTTATGACATATCAATGTCCTCATGGCTAAGGAAATAAGAACACAGAAATCTCTCTGCTAGTCAAATCCCAACTTTTCCAGCTTTCCATAAGTGCTGTAAACATTTCTTAAAAAAGGGACACTTTTTATTTTTACTTTTGCAGGCTATACACTTTACTTGAAATAGAAGAGTTCATTCCTTATTATGGAGAAGGCCCATTTACATCTTCAAGGAAATTTAGTATTTCAAGGAAAATATTGTAAGGAAATAAAAAAAAAAAATCTACCGAAAGAACAAGGCCTTTCTCCTTTGCTTACAAGAACTGGTATAGAATAATTTGATCATCAAGACACAATCTGTGACACTCTCCTTATCTGCCTTAAAAATATAATTTCAGGAAAATAATAATTTTTGTATTTTTAACACTTCTAAAGCATGAACCAAGCTTTGGTTGCTACTGAGGTTGTTGTATAAAATCCGTATTCTTCCTTTGACAGGAATAATCATCCATATATACAGTAGAAGCCCAAACATAACTCTTAGTAGTCCTGCAAAAAATACATTCTCCTGCCCTGTTAGTTTACCCCTATTTCTTAAAGCACACTCAAAATCCCAAACATATCAAGCTCAAGACATTCAATGTCTAATACATGAATGTAGTTTACCTGCATAACATAATACTGAAGATCTGAAGAAATGTTTACCCAGATAAGAGTACTATGAAAACCAAAGTTGTTTTACCTAAAGAAGATACTCACCTTAAGAACAGATTTATCAAGATTTGCAGCAGCACTGGAATCTGTTGTTGAACTAAAACTGTAAGTTTTTGGACCTGCAAATTGCAAGTAACCATCAATTACATAAGCAGAACATAGAGAACATTGTTTACAGTAGCTAACACAGACTAAAAATAACACAGGTTAGCGCAAGCAAATATTACACTAACTTGCCAGAAACATGCAGGTACATAACAACAATAATAATAACCAATGGTACAGAAAGGCCCTTTGAACAAGGACTAGCGAAGAATGGTATGACTCTTAGCAGACAAAATATAAAATCCCAAGTTGCACAATGAGAGGAAACGGGTCTGACTGCTCACTCTCTCTCAACACTGGAACAAGGAGTGCCAAATAGGGAAGCTAATGGCAGGCTCAAAACAAGCAAGACTGTTGAGGGTTTTTTATTACAAAATGCATACATTTACCAAAGTCCAAGGGCAGACAGGATAGCTTTGTAGTAAAGAAATCAATCAGTTTGGGAGGGCTTTGAAATAACATTGCATCTGGCTCAGGAAGACCCTTACCAACAACTGGTAGAGGATCTAAGAGTACCCTACAGCAGTACCAATGCACATCCAACCTATTCTTACCTAGGTACCTGCTTCTGGCCCCCATCTAGGAGAGGGCACTGCATTACTGTCATGGTTTAACCCCTGCCAGCAACTAACCCCCACACAGCCACTCAGTTGCTTCCCCCCAACCCAGTGGGATGGGGGAGAGAATCAGGAAAAAAAGTAAAACTTGTGGATTGAGATAAGAACAGTTTAATAGAACAGCAAGGAAGAAAATAATAGTGATGATAATAACAATAATAAAGTGACAATAATAATAATAAAAGTATTGGGTTTGCATGGCAAAGTTTTGGTAGCTGGGAGGGCTACAGAGGTGGCTTCTGTGAGAAGCTGCTAGAAGCTTCCCCGATGTCCGACAGAGCCAAGGCCAGCCGGCTCCAAGACAGACCTGCCACTGGCCAATGCTAAGGCCATCAGCGATAGCGGTAGTGCCTCTGGGATAACATTATTTAAGAAGTTGCACAACAGCAACTGCAGCTGGAGAGAGGAGGGAAAACATGTGAGAGAAACAACCCTGCAGACCCCCAGGTCAGTGAAGAAGGAGGGGGAGGAGGTGCTCCAGGTGCTGGAACTGAGATTCCCCTGCAGCCTGTGGTGAAGACTGTGGTGAGGCAGGCTGTCCCCCTGCAGCCCAGGGAGGTCCACGGTGGAGTAGATATCCACCTGCAGCCCAGAGAGGACCCCACGCTGGAGCAGGTGGATGCCTGAAGGAGGCTGTGACCCCATGGGAAGCCTGCGCTGGAGTAGGTTCCTGGCACGACCTGTGGCCCCCATGGAGCGAGGAGCCCGTGGAGCAGGTTTGCTGGCAGGACTTGTGACCCCATGGGGGACCACACTGGAGCAGTTCATGAAGAACTGCAGCCCGTGGGAAGGACTCATGTTGGAGAAGTTCATGGAGGACTGTCTCCCGTGGGAGGGACCCCACACTGGGGCAGGGGAAGAGTGAGGAGTCCTTCCCCTGAGGAGGAAGGAGCGGCAGAGACAACATGTGATGAACTGATCGTAACCCCCATTCCCCATCCACCTGCACCGCTGGGGGGGAGGAGGTAGAGAAAAATCAGGAGTGGAGTTGAGCCTGGGAAAAAGGGAGGGGTAAGGGGGAAGGTGTTTTTAAGATTTGTTTTTTATTTCTCATTACCCCCTACTCTGATTTGATTGGCAATAAATTAAGCTAATTTCCCCAAGTCTGTTTTGCCCATGATAGTAATTGGTAAGTGATCTCTCCTGTCCTTATCTCGACCCACAAGCCTTTCGTTACATTTTCTCTCCCCTGTCCAGCTGAGGAGGGGAGCAATAGAGGGGCTTTGGTGGGCACCTGGCATCCAGCCAGGGTCAA